CACTACAGGTGGCTTCCTGTTCCCCTGACTCATCTTCTGGACGCTGCCAACTCCTCTGAACACACATGCACATCCAAATATGGATACATGCACAGACACGAGTGTGTACCTGTGTGTGACCTATGTACACACATACATGAACACACACCTGAGTGTGCACACACATGAAGGTGGCCACATTGGGTTGACCCCCATAGTGCGGCATCCAGGGTCTCCTCCGCTCTGAACCCTGGGATTCAAGCAGCGTGACTCTAAGCTTTCTTCTTATTCCCGACTAAAGGCAGAGCAAACACCCAAGTTGGACATCAAATCAGGCCCTGCCTTTTTCCAATTCAAGGGCCAATCATTCAGGATATACACTGCCTTCAGTCCCGGCCTGGACTGCCACCCTCCTCCTGAGGCTGGTGTCTCAGCACAGCACGTGGTAAGAGGGCGGGGCACCTTAGCATAAGAACTCAGTAGGTCCCAGCACAACGGAGAAGAGGGCAGGGGAATGGAGATGGTTGAAAAGATCAGAGGATAGCTGAGTGGTGGTGCACACCTTTAATCCCGGCGCTCGGGAGGCAGAGGCAGGAGGATCTCTGAGTTCAAGGCCAGCCTGGTCTATAAGAGCTAGTTCCAGGACAGGTGCCAAAGCTACACAGAGAAACCCTGTCTCCGAGAAAAAAAAAAATTAGAGAACGAGTCCCTGGGAGGGAAGTGGGGAACACAGGACACAAGCCCATACTGGCCTGGGTTGAGTGGTGGGAGGTCCACTCATCTCACCGAGTGCTCGAAAATCCTGGACCTAGTCACTGTCCTTATGGCACGTTGGCCCCACTCAGGCACACATAATCTCACTGATCCAGACAAGGTCTGAGCTTGGACTCCTCATTCTACAGTCAAGACCATGAAGTGACCCATGAAGTGACCCAAGGTCATGGAAGCAGGGGTGCAGGACACTGTCCAGGTACTGCTGGGACTCTATCCAGGCTACTGTCCTTGAGACTACATCTCCCCGCTACTGATGCATGTACCCCAAAGAAAATACACTGGAACGTCCCTGTGGCCTGAGTGTCCATGGGCTTACACAAGTGTCCCAGGTGTGTGTAAAAGTCTATCCATCCCTAAATGTGTGTATGCTTTGCGTGTGCACAAGAAGACATGACGTTCTAAGTGCAGGTGAACATGTATGTACTAGTGTGTGGCACAAGCACGAAAATGGGTGTAAGAGTACATACGGGCAAATGTGAACATCCATCAAGGGTCTTGAGTGTGAGAGTGTGCACTGATTTGTGTTTGTGTTTCCATGTGCACCTGCACGGATGCAAAGGCGACAGTGAGCTTGAGTATGCGTGGAGGTGTATTTGTGTGCATGTGTGGGAGGGCACATGGGAGCATGGGTATGTCTACATGCATACACAAGTGAGCAAGTGGGAGAATGTGGCAGGATGCACGTGAAGCATTTGTGTAGGTGCCTGCGTGGGAGTGAGTGAGTGTGCTTCTGAGCGGGCATGTGTGCTTGCTTGCACGTGAGGGTGAACAGAGGAGGGGCAGGTATGACTCATGTCCCCAGACACAGTAAAACAGTGTCCTACAGAGCAGAGGTTCTTTCCTTGTCTCATTCATCCTGAGATGAAGACAAGAGCTTACAGCTATAAGAGCAGTCTCCCTGCCCCACCCCTCTGCTAGTCCTGTCTCTACTGCGGCTTGGGTCCCACTCCTGCAACCTCCTAGGCTCCATAGGGCCTGCCAAGCAAGGGGAAGGCACAAGGCCCCTGGTCGCAGGGACACCACCCCACCACAGCCACAGGGCCCTTCTGGCCAAACTCAGCTCAGGCCATTGTAGTAGGAAGAGGACAGGCAGAGTGTCCTGTCATCACATCCTAGGAGTCCCTTTCCATGGGCGATCTCAACACATTGAAAGCACCTCGCTCCAAAGTGCGGCTCGCACAGCCAGGGAGAAACTAGCAGATCAGTGACTTCACGCACCTGACTAAGGTGGCAGCATCCACGTCACTGATTTCAGAAGGTTGACAGGACAGGGAATGCCTTCCAGACACGGTCCACACATGGTACCCAGAAAACACAGCTGTCCTATGACACTGCTCCCATTGACAGTGGGGGAAACCGAGGCACAGAGATCCTCCGGCACCCCAGCTCACAGGATTTTGCAAGCACCCCTGAAATGCTTGGAGACCCCTCACTCACAAGCCCACCTGCACCCATATGAGTCAGCAACTGAGCCACCCTGCTCTGTGCACACAGTTACCCGTGCACCCAAGGAACTCAGCCCTTACCCCAGAGACGGCAAGGATGTTAACGGAAAGAGAATACATCAGAAGCCATCAGAACCCCAGAGGGCGCTGCCCACAGCTTAGGTGACAGACAGAAACAAGAGCAAACATATTCCTTAACAACCCTGATCTCCATCACAGGCATCCAACAGAAACTGAAGTCCATTTCCTCTACCCTGATAGGTAGCCTAGCTGAAAACACACAGTGTACACAAGTTCAGTAGAACTGGGCTACTTCAAAGAGAAAAGAGATAATAACAGTAATACAGACTCATCTGGGGCAAAAGCAAGCGCACAGGGTCTATGAAGAACACTAGGTAAAGCTCAGAGCCAGTGGGCACAAGTCTGTCTGTGTCATCTACCCCAGGCTCAGGAAGGGATGGCAGGAGACTACTGTGGATGGAGGCCTTGGGCCACTGGCTAGACCAGCCCAGGCCCACTTTTCCCAAGAACCTCCTCCCCTCAGTAGTACGCCAAGACAGTGGCCTTCTGCTCTTCTGTCTTACTTCCCCACGGCTCTCGGAACCTCCCTGAAGATGGGCAGCGGTTCTGGAAGGGACCTTCTTCCCTACACAGGACAGGATCTGGATCCCAAACCTCTCTGCAAAATGCAGATTTGCTCGGAGTCTCTACCCTTGACCGGAAGGTCTGAAGTAAGGAAGCACACCTGACTCTGGAGCTTTCCTAGGACTCAGCTCCAAAGGACTCCCGTGCAGAACTAACACTCCAAAAGCAGCATCCCCTGTGTGTGCAGCAAGGGCCACCCTGCAGAGTTTCCACCATGACTCATCCTCTCAGATTCTTCTGCATAGCTGCTCCAAGCCTTCTTCCCCATTACAGCCTGCCTAGAATAAGGAGGCGAGGAGGCAGTGCCATCAGCAGAAGGCTGCACAGCAGAGGTAACAGGCTGAAAGGGAGGTGGCAGAAAGGCGGTGAAGTACACCAGCACTTCCTAAAGCAAGTGCCACCTTCTCCGGGCATCTCAAACACTAAGGGACAGAGTTCACTGACAGGCTGCAGGGTGCTTGGTATTCTGTAAGGGGAAGACGTTTGAAACCCTTGAGGACTACCTACGGGCTTCCCTTCATTACAGGTTTCCCTACCTTGATTCCCATTTAGGCGTCAATATGAGACGTGAATACAAATATTATAGAGGATAAAATGCTTTCGAAATGGCAGAAGATTTTCAACACATGCTTTCCTTATGGACATTTTACCTTCACACTGCCTCTGTGGAAGCAGCATCTTCCCCTGTGGGCAGGGGCATGGCTGAGTTCAGTGAGGGGTGGGGGATTTATATCAAATTGGAGGTCAGTCATTGGGAAACCTGGGTACCAGCTACCTAAGAATCCTTGTTTTCACATGAGCTTCCTTCCCACACTGGAGTAACAAGGGCTCCTCTATCCCAGTGGGAGGGGCACTGGCACCTTCGCAGACTCCTCCCTCTCGCCTTTTACATCTTTGCTCTAAAAGGAATGCCTAGGGGCTGGGTAGGGGAGAAAATTACTAGTTTAAAAAGGACCTGAGCCCATGTCTCTCACTAGCCCTACAATGTATGCTGAGCATGAGACCTGCCATCATGGCCTCTGGGACCATGTACTGCTCCCTGACATCAGGATAGGGTGTGCATCCTATAGTCGCCAGGTACACCCGACTAACACCCCCCCACACACACTCTCTCTCTCACACACCAGCTATCCTCCCCCAATTTGGATCCTGGCGCAGCCCAGCCCCCCACAACTTCCCATGTGCTCCCAAGGCTACCTTCTTTCCTTATATGGGCTCCCCCACCTATCTGCCTCTCATCTCCCTCCTGCTGTTCTGTAGCTAGACCTAGAAACACAACACTCCCTCAGCTGCCAATCCTAGGCAGGACCAGTGCAGGGAAAGGTACCAAACTCCTGGGAACTGTCTCCCGGTCCACCATCACCACCCCCATGTGTCTGGGTACAGTGGTCTGGGAGAACAGGGACGTCCGGAGTCCAGGAGGAGCCTCAAGAGGAATCCTATGCCCTTGTCACAGCAGCCACCTCACCCGCCCAAGTTGAAAGAGACTAAGTTCCAGGCTCTGTAGAACAAGGGTAAAGGCTTCTAGGAGCAGAGATGGTGAAGATCAGATTGTGAGTGACCTTGGCAAACTCCTCTTTTTTGGAGCAGGAGTTAGGATGGTTAGAGATATAGGAGGGGTTCAAAGTCCATTCCCTCCCACTGACTGCTCCCACGAGTCCGCGGAATTGAGAAGCAAGCCCCAGACGCTGCCGCTCTAGGTGAACTGGAGAGGAGCCCAGGGACTGAGCGCTCCGCCAGACTAGAAGCCTTGCCTCGAGACCGCGCATCCGCGCATCCTCCCACTTTTCATCCCTAAACGGAGATGGGTGCAACCCAAAGCAGTGGGTCAGGCTTAGGCTCCCGCTTGGGCACACAAATACTGCCTGACCTTGGGCGTCACACACACACACACACACACACACACACACACACACACACACACGGTCTCGCGTCTCCACCCTAAAGGCACTGTGGACTCTTACCTCGGAAGACACCCCAAGTGCTAACCCTGACTGCATTCCCAGCTTGCTGAGTGACCTTGAACACTCACACCTCTCTTCAGAACCTCAGTTTCCCCACCCTCCCCATAGAAAGAAGAATGTTAAACTCCTGGCACCACCAGTCCCGCTGGCAGGTGTGTCTCCAACCCAATGAAGGGCGCGTGATGGCACTTACCGTCCTCCAGAGACGTGGGCGCTTGGCAGGGACCAAGGCGGCTGTGACCAGTAAGTGAGAGGCAGCCACCACAAGCCCGAAGCCGATGACCAGTAGGCTGCGCACGGGCAGCAAGGCATAGGATACGAAGGTGATCAAAAGGAGTTGCCAAACCCCATGCTCAGCAACCGCGGCTCCCACTGCGCCTCCCGCAGAACCCCTCGCCGGGCCACCCAGCGCGAAGGGGCAGCAGAGTAGCGCGAAGGTGAGGCTGAAGAACAGCGCCAGCTGACCGACCTGCTGCAGCTGGGACACCTGCAGGGATCGGACATTGGTGACCACGAACAGCGCCAGAAAGAGGATGCAGTGCACGGGGTGAGACCCCTTGGCGAGGCCAGGCGCGGGACCCGGCGCGCCCAGCAGTTCAGCCAGCGCCAGGGAGCCCGCCAGCAGGCTAAGCACCGCCAGCGCCTTCAGCGTGGCCGCCTGCTCCAGCCGCAGCGTGTAGCCGCGGAACAGCGCCTCCAGCTCGGGGCACGCGAACTCCTCGCCACACGCCCGGAGCCCGCGCCGTCCGCCCGGCCCAGCCGCCCGCTCTGCGCCCCCGGGCTCGCCCGCGCCTCCGCCGCCGCCTTGGCCGCGCGGCGCCCCCGCCATCTCAGCGCCATGCAGCGGCCGCGGCCACGGGCGCGCCCCTCGCCGGCCCGGGGCGCCGGGGCGCGGGCGGCGGCGCCGGGGCGGGCGGGCGGCGGGCGGCGAGGCGCCGGGGCGCGGGGCGGGCGGAGTTGGGGCGCCGGCTGCCCAGCGCGCGCGCCCCGAGCGCGTCCCCTCCCGCCCGCCGCGCCTGCGCACTGGCGCCCGCCCGCGCCCCGGCTGTGGTCCTCCGCGGCGACCGCGCTGCGACAAGCAAGCCCCACGAGCCCCGGTCCTGGGCGGGCAGAGTCCGCGCCCAACTCTGCGCCCCACGTCTCACTCGCCCGAGGGGCCACGTGACCTTGGATACCGCTCTTGCCTTTCCGAGCCTCGATTTTCCCACCTATGCACAGCGGAGCCCACCCATCCCCACCCCCAGGAGTCTCTTGAGGCGGTTTTTTTTTTTTTAAAAAAAAAAAAAAACGCCGAAATTCCCAGTAGAGAGGAGGAACAGCCCTGCCAGGTGTATGTCCCCTCCCCAAACAGAACCAGGTCACCGGAGAGGAGCCCTTACTCCGCTTTAGACTCAGTCAATGCCACCGAGAAGCCCCGTGGATCCCTGGTCACACATGCAGGGAGCTCTAAGTGTCTGGTTTGCCCACCGCCTGGGTGGGTGGTGGGAGCTCTGTCTATTGACCTAAACAAGAATAGAGCGCTGCAATGTCCAGGGAAGCTGTAAGGTATAGGTGCAGGGATGGGTGAGGGCAGGAAGGAGAGATAAAACAGCTCCGCTGACTCCCTAAATAGGAGATAGCCATGCAAATGATGGCAAGACGTTTTCTTCCTGCGGAACAAGTGGCAGGGACAGATCCACCGCTGATGCCTAGTTTGCACCCTCGTGCTGTCCATTCACTATCAGAATGGACCTTACAGAATTTCATCTGGTGCTCAGGATGGACCCCTGAGGTCGCTGCCTCTGTTCCCCTTTAAAGAGGGTCCCAGAGGACCCAGACAGTAGAAAGGATGAGAGGAGCCCTTGCCACCTTTGGATCCCATGGGTGCACAGCAGCTATGTCCCTCACGAAATTTTGCAACCCAGACATTATTCCTCCTACAGGAGGCCCTATTTCCAAATGCTCAGTTTCAATCTATCCTGTTCAAACTCTACTCTGTTTTAGAGTAGATTCTCAGGGTAAGAGCAACTGCCCTCCTATTCTATAGGTGCAAGGATTAGAATTTGAGGTGTTCCAATTTTCATTGGAATTAGTATTAGTTTGAGCCACATGAAACTGTCGTTTTTATATGTTCCACTCAACCTTTCCAATAGTTCAAAACCAAGGTCTTCTGGAATCACTTGATAGCCTGCTAATCCCTCTGCTTGGAGCAGACTCCCCAGGAAGACACTCCCAGTGCAAAGCCTGCCTGGCACCAGCCTGCACCCAGGCTGTTTTCACCCCAGTCCTGCCCCTTCCGTGAAGGTTCACACCTAGTGTTCTGCAGCCTCATTCTCTGGTCATTTTTCTCTCTCTGTTCTTTTGGCTGAAATGCAAGGAGAGCATCAGCTGATGCTGTAAAGACAGTCCGGCTCTATCCTTAGGTCACTGCATTGAAAAGCACCACTGTGACCGCCTGATTCCTGGTTGTCTTTACTAATAAGTCTACAAGGTTTCTCAAGTATCTGCATCAGGTAGAATCTCTTGTCACTTAGTGTTGTATGGTTTCATATCCTAGTGGTTTTATTAAAGCAAACCTGAGCAATATCCAGAAGTGTTCCTACTACATAAAAAAATGAAAGACATATGGTGAAGTCATTTAAATGCAAAGTTCATAAGTAAGCTGCACCTGCTTGCTTCTGTGTCGACTTGCAATTCCTTCTTCACTCTTTTTTTTTTTTTTTTTTTTTTGAGTCAGCAGCAACTGCTTTCAAGAGATCCTGGAGGAACCTGTATTCGGGTTTGGAAAGAAGGTGGGTCATCGTGTGACCCTTTAGCTCACTGCCACAGCCATGTTTCTTCTTATGTCTGTCTGACATACCTTACTTGGCATCTTGGAAAACAGCCTTTGTCACCCTTGTTTTGTTGGTGAAGAACCAGACTCCAGAGATGCTCAGTTGCTGGCTCAGTCTCACAGTCTGGAGGGAGCATGGGGTTCCTTCAAGCCCTGTTGAAAACCCTTAGATGGCACAATAGCCCATACTTGCTATTGTCAGTATGGGCTTGTACACTACTGTGCTAATGCTCTCACATCACGTGCCAGGCTGGAAGAAGGGCTTCAATGGACAGTCTACAGCCACAGACAGAAAGGGAAGTTATCTATAATACAGTGGGAGCAGGGGTGGTGTGTACCTCCCATATGACTGCTGTCCTTATCAAAGGAGGAAGTCTGGGCCGTTTCACACGCAGGCAGAGTACCATGAATGACACTGTCAGAAGCCAAGGATCTACTAGAAAGTCCTGAGAAAGGCCTAGAACAAATCTTCCCTAGCAGGGTCACAAATAGAAACTTTAATCTCCTATCGAGTATCTGGCACTCCAAAAGATGTCAACAACTAGGGAGGTAGCATGGCTAGCCGTAGATATGTAGATATGCCTGAGAAGCCAGAATCTTGGTCACTTCCCAGTCCCTACAGCATCGCTCCTCTTCATCATCCACCCCAGTCTCTCTCTAATAAATAACTGAATTTAATTTAAAAAACTCACGGTGCATTTTGAGCACTTTTGTCCAGTGGGTAGATTTCAGGCACAGTCTCCTCTTCTATGCATATGGAAGAGCATCACTGGCCATCGGCTGCTGGTCGCTATTACAGAGCCTCCCCGTGTGTTTTTTGTATTAATGCCTCGAGACTGCATAGGATAGGATCGTTCAGGTGATGCAGAGTGGGTCTGGTCTGAAGCCTCAGCCCGTCTGGCCCAGTTCTACTTCATGTCTACCCTAGCAGGTCTTGAGACATCACGGCTAAAAGAATGTGAATGTCTGAGCTAACATCTCAGAGACGCCCGAGCCAGATGTGTGACTTTCAGCAAGCTATTCATCCTGTCTGTGTTCTGACTGTGAATTGTGGATTTAATTTCCCTAGCAAAATGTGGGAAGAAGGAGCCACAGTCACACCGACTACCCTTCCTACGCATAAAATAAACATGATTTTGCTTTACCAATTCAGTGCTCTATATACACACAAGTGGATCACTCAAACTCTTGATTCAGCCGTCTAGACAGTGGCCCTAGTAGCCAGAGAACTCACACGGTCCTGCTTTAGCTCACTGACTTTCATGGATTACAGTCAGGGATCAGCATTTAGAAGACTGTATACCATACTCTATTTCCACTCCATATTTGGAGACCACGTTTCCCTGTGAACCTGCAGGGAGATTAGTGTCTACTTTAATAGCCTTTGGGCCACTGCCAACACAAGGATAAGGGTTGCCAGCCCTGTGACTATAGGATGCTCAGTAGAGTTAATATTTCTGTGCTCATTTTTAAGTGATCAAATGCTCATATGAAGGTCTCATAATGTGGAGCAATCAAAGCTTTTGATGTGCTAGGCTCATCCTTGAGCAAGCTGATCCCTGCTGTGGGTCCAATACGGTTCGTCTTGACCAAAATTCATGTTGGGGCTTAATTAGTCCATGTGTCAGCATTCAGAGGTGGGTTCTAGTGGGAGATGTATGGGTCAAGGGGGTGAAGCCCTCATAAGTGGACTGCAGGGACAGTTAGCAGTTCTGCCCCCTTTCCAAGTCCCCGTGCATCCCTGGTCCATCCCCTCTTCCACTTTATGCCGGTGTGTAATTCTGCACGGGGCCTCCAGAAGCCGAGCAGAGTCTGACATTGTGTTCTTAGATTCTCAGCTTTCAGAACTGTGAGTCAAATTACCCCTTTTTCTTTATAAAGTCCCCATCCGTGAGCACTCTGGTACAGCAGCAGAAAATGAAGCAGGACAGGCCCTGGCTTGCTGCCACCATCCCGTTTACCCCCAGCTTCAGACGCTGCACACACCATGTCTCTGCCATTTTCAGTCTTCTCCGTGTGCTTCCTTGGAGCATCCGGGCAGAGGAAAGGGATTTCTGCTTCACTTGACGACCATCAGAAACCATCTCATGCATCTGTTCAGGACTCTTCCTTTCAAAAGGACAAAAAGCCTCAGGCTGTCATAATCCAAAACAGAGAAGGTCTGGCTCTTGTGACTGAAGGTCTGGGCTGGTTACAGCTGTGTCCATTCCAGAACTCCAGAGCCTGGAAATGCTACAGATGGGGCTCCCACTGCCACCTGCCAGGCTTGGACATGACCACACGAGCAGGTGGGAGGTGTAGGCTTGTCTTTCTTTGCTCCTGGGCCTGGGGACAGTGCCCAGATAGCTGGAACTGAAAATGAAGTGTTCCAGCACTCCAGGCAGAACTGCAGCTGCACAAGGAGGCGTGGGTAACGAGCAGCAGACGTCATGGAGCTCAGCAGGCAAGATCTGGGCGCATTGATTCGGCCACTTCAAGCACCTGTGTCTTGTGGGGTTCCCTGTGGCACGGAAAGAGGGAAAAGTGGCTGTTGGACATTCAGGCTTATGTGTTGTCTTCATGGTAACCCTAGAACTTGTTACCTATTTCGTGACCCTTCCAGGGGAGACACCAATAAGCAACTATTCACTGTGATAGGGCACCAATTTCAGACGAAAGAGACAACAATCCCACACAAACTCTGGTTGGTAAGCCAGTGAATTTATTGGGCTTGCTTACAGGAGCATGGGTGACCCCACACTGTGCCACTGCAAAGTCTCCCCCAGCATGGATGATGACTTTCCCATGGCTGCAGTGGATGGAGTCCCAAATTTAGCTAACCTCTCGCCCCTCCATACTCAAGCACCGGATAACCACAGCTAGGCCAGAACCTCATGCAGGAAGTAGGGCAGTGTAGAAGGGTCTGTTGCGGGTCATCCGAGGGTCACTCTGCTCAGAGGACAGAGCTCCACACTAACCTAGGATCCACTGTTCCCGCCATTCCTTCAAGACTTTTTGTTCTCTGCTTAAAAGTTTGAAATCACCATATCTCGGCATTTCCTTAGAAAATCATTTCTAGTGATTGTCCCCATGTC